ATTAAAGTTCTACTAGAGAGCTGCTTGCAGCTTATACAAACTATTTAATACAAATATGTTGACTTGTATACATCCCATTGTCCCATAGCCCTTATATATATAATGAATACTTGCAAAATTCTTTGCTTTTGACGGTTTTGGCTGTTTGCTTTATTTGTGCAATTTTGCTTACTTTGCACAAAAAAAATCATTATTTCCCCATTCTCTTCTCTGATCAGGTGCACCACAACATGCCTTATCCTCTTGCAGAGTGAGAAGATAATTTTAAGATTTCTTGTCCCCATTTATTTATTTATTTATTTATTTATTTATTTATTTATTTATTCATTCATTCATTCATTCATTCATTCATTCATTCATTTATTAAGTTGAGAACACTGAGTATACAAAGGTGGTTAACGATATCTGAAGCAATGAACAATGAATAAGGAGGCATCTTACAAGGTTAACAGGCAATATTAAGGCAAAGATTAATAATTATACAAAAAAAAATTAAAATGTCACTCTGAGAAATGGAAAACACAAAAATGGAAAACAAAAGTAGTACTAAAAATCCAGTCAAAGTAGTAATGCATAACAATCTATCTAACAATCACACACAGGTAGCTGTTACTGACGTAAAGCTTGACTGAAGGGAAAGGTCTTTGCCTGCTTACAGAAGGGTAGCAAAGATGGGGATGGTCTGGCCTCCCGTGGGAAGGAGTTCCAGAGTCTGGGAGCACCAACAGAGAAGACCTTCCAATCAGATGTACCAAGAGAAAGGCCTCTTCTCATGATCTTAACACCCAAGCCAGCTGATGAAGGGAGATATGGTCCTTGAGATAGCTTGGAACCAAGATGTGTAAGGCCTTTATAGGCTAAAGCCAGCACTTTAAATTGTACCTAGTAACTGATTGCCAGTCAGTGGAGTTGCTGTGGGGGATAGGTTAAAGCCAGCACTTTAAATTGTACCTAGCAACTGATTGCCAGTCAGTGGAGTTGCTGTAGGGAGGGTGTTATGTGATCCCTGTGACCAGTCAGCAATCTGGCTGCTGCATTTTGGAACCTGACAAAGTTTTCCAACACTTTCCATCGGCAGCCCCACATAGAGCGCATTACAGTAATCCAGCTGGGAGGTAACTAGGGTGTGCATCATAGTGGCCAGATCAGATCTCTCAAGAAATGGATGTAGCTGGCGTACCAATTTTAATTGTGCAAATCCTGTACTCCACCACTGAGACCTGAGCTTCCAGGCTCAGGGATGAATCCAGGAGCACCCCCAGGCTGCACACCTGTTTTTTTTTCAATGGGAGTGTAATCCCATCCAGTACTGCCTGCATTCCTATTTCTTGATCTGTCTTTCGACTGACCAGGAACACCTCTGTCTTGTCTGGATTAAGTTTCAGTTTACTCACTCTCATCCAGTCCATTCCTGATACCAAACACTGATCTAGAGGCAAAGTAGCTTCCTCAGATTTAGGTGGCAAGGAGAGGTAGAGTTGGGTGTCATCCACATACCAATGACACTGAACCACAGAACTCCAGATACTCCCTCCCAGTGGTTGCGTGTAGATGTTAAATAACATAGAAGACAAAACAGAATCTTGAGGGACTCCACAGGGCAGTGGCCAGGATTTTGAACAGGAGTCGCCCATCTTCCAGAGAGACAGATCAGGAAGATATTGTGGTCGATGGAGGATTTAGCAGATTTAGACTTAGATAGTAGATTTAGAGTTCTAGTCACCTTCCATGCCACACAAAGTATGGCTTCAGTTTCCCAGCCGATGACAGCTTTTTTGGTGGAAGCTATGGAGAACTACCCTTCCTACAGTTATGGAACCAAAATGTGTTCCTTCAGTAGAACCAATCTAAAGGATCCTGGCCATTGCGGTGAAAGCAAGCATACAGTGGCCAGACCTTGTTTGCTTGCTTTCCCTTGCCCTGCCTGGTAAGATCAGCTGGGTTGCTGCCTCTTCCCTAGACTGTTGTCAAACTCTTCTACTGTACTTGGGCTCTGCTGTCCTGCCTTGTTGTTCTCCTGATTACTTTTCAGCCATCATTGCTCTGCCTCCAACAAATTCATAGAGCTATGGTTTCATAGACTACCAGCCCTTATTCACTGGCTGCAAGCAACCTATGAAGACAACAGAAGCAAGTTGGCACATTGTAGATATCCTGGTGAGAGAGACAGGCAGCTACTACACTATTGTCCCAAAGATGATATCTAAATGATGCAGGCACAACATAGGTACAGTACATGCTTATGAATCTCTCTGGCTGTTCCTATAATTTTTCTCCAGAAACATTAAACATATGGGACCAGTATCTTCTTGGTATAACAGATGATTGTGAGCCAATGCTTACTGACCCTGATACATAACCGCTGCAATCATGACAGAAGTTAGATGAGAGGGCAATAAAGCTTCCTTCCTTCCTTCCTTCCTTCCTTCCTTCCTTCCTTCCATCCTTCCTTCCTTCCTTCCTTCCTTCCTTCCTTCCCATTAATAAGCATGTTTGCATGCTAGGTCAATATTACAGCTGACTTCGCTTGAGGCTCAAATGCTGTGACAGAAACCAATCTGGGTAATATCCTTGTAAAACTAAGGAAATTGGGAGTTAGTGACGGAGAATGACGTGATCTAGAATAGAGTAGACACCTTGTTCATACTACAAGGCTGTAATGGGTATTGAGTATTTCTACAACACATCCACAGAAAATGGAAAGCTCCAGTTCTTCCCAAATGCCCAAAAGGTACAGTATATATATATATATGGACAATGGCTTCTGTAACCCAAGAAGAGACTGGCTCACTGTAGCCCTGTGTGTGTGTGTGTGTGTGTGTGTGTGTGTGTGTGTGTGTGTG